AAAATAATGTCTAAGAATTGAATGCTAGAGAGCTGAAAGTGTCATTTAAAGTGCTAATACTGTTTAATGTCTTATAAATGTCTTTAGAACTATTTTTTAATTGCCCCATCATACACACTGCATGTTGTATACTCTACTGATGTAAGATCTGCTCACCGATAACCATTAGTGTATTTGATGTGTTACAGAGCCCATCAGTCCACAAGGGGCAGAATCAGACTTCATTGGACTAAAAGATGGCTGCACATAATTGACATGTTCTAAGAGTCTTTTGTATTAAAGCAGAGGGATATTTCATGATTTTTTGTTTTCTATAATTTTTGAAATAGGCACCAGAAAGTGTTATATATTGTTTGTAGTTCATTCTTTAGGAACTTTAAAGGCGTGAAGACATGTATAATGAGGTAGCAGTAATTAGAGAGCAAGAGAAAAAATTGTAGAAGTGGAAACAGAATGGGAAGAAGTCTTTTATTGGATAAACATACTTTTGAGTTATTTTTAATGGTGTAATTAGAAAACTGTCTTCATCTTCTCATATATTGAGCATGTAACTAAAATTTCCTTCTACATTTGAAAGAGTAGTAACAGCCATTGCTTTGGTTCCATGTATGTATGTATGTAAACACACAAACATGTACAGTGATAAGATGTTATGCAATCATTTCCATAAATTATGTGGAGAAAAAGGTGTTGGCTCCTCTTACATGGAAAAGTCTTTCTTGTAGTATGTGATTTACAGTACTTTCCTCCCCTAATCACTTTCTAAATCTATTTTTACTTTGAAACTCATGATACTGAATTTTCTCTGAAGGACTGGCATTTGAAAATCTCTTAATTATGGTGGATTTTATCCATGGCATGAAAATATATCTTAGCCATTATACTATCTATTTTTGTAATCCTGGAATGTTTTTAATTAGGTTCTTTGTGGAACAATGGATTCAAATTTGCACTCTATAAAATTCAGCAGCTTCTATGCTATTAAAGCACAGATTACAGGACAGCAATGCTAGAAAATGTAAATTTTATTTGCCCTTTCTTTTTACCTCAACCTGAAAACTTTAGTATTTCACTTCTTTATTTTTTATGATCTAAGTATGTTTTCTTCTTTTTGTAAGACAAAGGACATCATTTGAGATGTGTGTTGGTTTTAGTTTATCAAATATATTCTAAAGTTCTTACAATGAAAAGGACAAACTCTTTATTCTAAAGACCCAAACATTTGCAATAAGTACAAATTAGTTTATTGTCTGTCCACTAAGGAAGAGACAACAGGCATTTTGTAATATATTGCAATTTATTGTTTGACATCTGTCCATGGTAGAATATTTTCCTGCTTGAAAATCTGTCCCTCTGAATGACGGATGCAATTATGTTTTGCCTTAATGAACTGCTGAGACAGTGCAGTAAAAACCAATTCGCTGCTGAGTTAGTGTAAATAACAATGTAAACTGTATATCAAATACTTTTTTTTGGAACAAGATTGAAAATAGATAAATGAATAAAAGTAAACAAATCCATGGTACATGTCATCGTACAACTTTCTGTTGTACATGTAAATGCAATAGTTTGCAATGTGAAGATCAAGTCCTTGGTACATTGCAATAACAGATGATTCACACAGCATCACTCAAATGTGTCCAAAGTATTATTTTTGCATATAAAAATATAATGCCATTTTATCATGACTCCTCTTTGTTTTATAACTTTTTGAGTATGCATTTTCAAAAAACAAAGGCCTTATTTATTGTATAATTTGGGGTTTTTTTGCCTTCAATCAGTGAAATTAGTTGTAGATTAATTACAGAAATTATATAACATATATTTGAGTGTCATTAGAAAAATTAGTGATCATTACGATTATTCTAGTTTGAGACTTTAAAATAATAAATGAATTTTAAAATTTCCAAGGAATATCTTCAATTATATCAAATTATAGAATTAGTTTGGCCACATTTGTGAGCTCAGGCTATTGACATTTCAGAAGTCTCTACGCTGAATATAGCATTTAAAAAAGACTTATATTGGAGAAATTTGTTTTGAAATCTAACTGGAAAATAAGATTATTTATCAATAAAACTTCCACAAATGTATGAACATCTCTGCTTTTTTATTATCATTGAATTCCAGTCATATAGCATAATATTTTGGACAGAGTAGACATTAAATATTTCTAGGGTGAATGAACTAATTAATGATTATTGGTTTCTTTAGATTGTTTTCAAGAACCTGAAATCATATCTATGAAAAGTAGTGTATGAACTAGCTTTGCATTACTATTAAAAGAAATCTACTAGTCGCTAAGAATTATTATTTTTTTCTCATCATATCACTATGTTATTGTGAGCAAATCTTTAACACATTGAAATAATATTTAACTGGCCAGGATATGAAGTCTTCTAACCAATCAATAATATTCCATCTGTAGCTCATTTTCTCTGTATATTTATTGATTACATTTTAAGCTTAAAATTCTACTATAAGAACGAATAAAGGCCAAAAAGAATTTCTCTTAACTGTCAATCAAAACATTCTAATCAATAAAGTAACAAGCAAATGATTTACATGTCCTTTACTCTATTTAGAGCTTTTGGAAAAAAACTCCCTTTCTTACAACCTAGATAAATAATACAGATGACAAACTCATATTTCCATCATACAGTTTATTTACTGTCTTCTGGAGTAAATCTGCCCATTAGGATCCAAGAACCCAGTGAGCAGGGGTATGTGAAAATGAATAGAATACAGTGAAGTAAGAGCAGAGGAGTTAAGATGGTGTCCTTGGGTATATAGGAAAAGGCGCAACTCATTATACCTTAGAAAATAAGGAAAGGATTTAAAAGGAGGCCATGTTTTCGCTGTCTTAAAATAACTAAGCATTATTAATATCAATACTAGTATAAAAGTATCACTAACATACATGTCCAATAATAAGAAAGAATTGAGGAAATAGGATACGTTTCGACAATGGAATATTATGAAGGCATTAAAAGTAATGTCTTCCAAAATGTTTAATGATATAGCAGTACATGTGTGATATGAGGTTGGATGTAAAGACAATACACGCAATTTTATTTGCAGTAATACCTCAGTTACATAAAATACACTCAAAATTCTGTATGCAGTAATACCTCAGTTATATAAAATAAATATGCAAGCCAAAAAACGCTAAAGTAAAACTCACTGATCTGAGTGGGGCATTATGGATTTAGTTTTTAACCATATTTTTTACATTTTCCAAGTACAGTAAGCACCGAGGAGATAGTCTAGAGTGTCTCATCAAAACGGAAAAAGATTGTTAGTAATATCAAATGTTACAGTGAGTTCAAGAGCAATGAAAACTGAGGAAACCCGTTGAATGGTGAAATAAAGAGGTCAGAGAATGAACCCTGATACTGTTGAAGAAAAACCGTAGCACTGTGAGAAGGGCTTTGAAATCAGAAAAGACCAAAATTTTGGCAATTTGATTTAATGTCCTAGGGATAATTTGTTTGTTTTGATTTTATTTTCATTAAATGTTATGTGTATGTGTGTGTGTGCGTGTGTGTGTGTGTATGTGTTAAAGTATTACCAGCATTCAATAAAAATGAATTAATGTATATGACACATATATGGTATGTTTTCATGATATTTATTCATATTTAAATATATACACACATATACATATATATATTTATATTATATATATGCATATATTTTTTCAAATCCAGGCAGGAAAGTGGAACTCATGCTAGGGGAGCTTTATTTTCCTGTTGAAAATGAACTCTATTTTTCTGTTGAAAAACAGAGGGATTTAATATAGAGAATGGACTAAACAATTGCAGGAAGATAACAAGGAAAATACTGCTACCACCCCAGGGCTATAAAGACAGAAGAAGCTGGTATTTTACAAAATTAGAAGGTGGCACCAGCAGAAAGTAAAATTAGGAAGGAGACGAGACCACTTCTGTAGACATCCCGTGAGACAGAGAAAGGAAGACATACCCCAGCTTCTCCTCTCCGCCAACCCTTCACCACCCTACCAGTGTCTGTCACTGGCAAATCTCACAGCAGCCTGTTGGCAAGTGAGCCTGGGATATATGGTTCACTGGAGTCAGCTCTCTGGGACATAGAGCAGAATAGAGGCGAAGGGCATGGGAAATGATCATAACGATGTTTCTTTGGAGAGAAAGGAGGCTGAGAAGCAACATTTTTTTGATAGACTAACATATGTACCAAAGACTTCATGAAATCTACTGATTTGTGCGTTGATTCATAACTAGGTGGGTAAAATCTTGTCTTTCTCTGTTAGCAGGACCATAGAGTAGATGATATCAGAGTTATTTTCAACTCTGTGATTTTAGTATACCATAAAAATACTTCAGTGGTGCTCAAATGCACTTCGCTGCAGTGGATTTTATGTGAAATATTCACAAAATGAATCCACAGAGCCTAGACTGTCTTACTGAAAGTACGTGTAGCATATATGGATTTATAATTTAACATTCTACCTCATAAGAAGCTTCAAAATTAATTTTGTGAGTAGAAAATGATTTTTTAACCTATAATACACTTTCTGTAGAGGAAATAAAAGTTTTATAAAATTTAATATTCAACAGTAATTTGTGGAAGAGTTATGATTGTATCTAAAATATGTAATAGATTTATCCAGTATTTCTACCTATTTCTCTAATTTATGTTAAGGTAATTAAAATGTACTTCTAAGTTAGTTTCTTAAAGGTATTATTTCTTTTGTACAAAGTCCAGACTTAAATATTGATGGATATGTAGTACTTAAAAATCTGAATATTTTAATTATTTTTATAATTGCCTTGTTTTTAATCCCAATTTGCTTCACATTTAGGGACAGAAAAATTAAATTTAGTGCTTATTTTTCAGGAAAAAATATATCAGTCATGAAGAACATCAATTTTACTTCTTGACATCAGTCCTGAGCTTGAATTAAACGTGTCTGAAGGTTCACGTCTCCATTTAAAAAGTTGAATTTTTTTTCATTGCAGACGTTTGGAACAGAACACAATCAAAGTCATCCCTCCTGGAGCTTTCTCACCATATAAAAAGCTTAGAAGAATGTGAGTGAACAATATTCTACAATATATGTAATTTAAAAAATTAGACAGGTCATGAGACCATGCAAAGAAACCTAAGTATGAGTATATCAGTGTTTGACAGCTTAAATATTAAGTGATGTGACTGTCTGATTACTAGCTCTGTAATAATATTTTAATCTTAATATCTAAACTATGTAATTTTAAAGGTCTCTGTAATTTAGCATATTGATTCACACAAATGTGAATGTTTATGGTCAATATATTTTGCAAATATATTCAGATGTTCTATTGTCAAAAATAAGACATGGCATCTTATATGGGAAAATAGACAATGGTTATTTTTTAAAGCATGATTTCTTTTTTAAATTTCGGATCCCTCAGATGTTAAGTGTTGCACATTTTGTACATGTATTGATGAGGACAAAACCAACATTTAAAAGCCATACTTAGCTATTTCCACAGTAAATCTCACTGACATTCGATTGAATGTAACCTAACCCTATTTCTAATCTTAGCGACCTGAGCAATAATCAGATCTCTGAACTTGCACCAGATGCTTTCCAAGGACTACGCTCTCTGAATTCACTGTAAGTATTCACTGGGTCACTGAAGGAAAACAGAAAACCACAGCAAAGAGTGGCTACCTTTTTAAAATTGGGATTTCAAAATACTCTTAGGTTTTTATTGTGAATAATGAATTATTAATAATGTTAATTATTATTAATCATTACTGGATCCCATTATTTTTATGGAGGACTGCTACCTGTCACTAAAATTCACCAGTTTGATCATTTTGCTGTTAGGAGAGCAAGAGTCAGATCCCCTTTTTGACCATTTTTTTTATTTCTAAAAGAAAAAGAAAATATTTATTTTGGAAAGCATATAGCTAGTATCTAGGGACAATATCAGTCTCCTTTGAAATGCTAGGCAAAGTCTTGCTGAGAACACTTGAAGATGACCACTGAGAGGAAACCTCCACTCTTTTTCATCACCTTAATGCTATCCTAAAAGAATAAGCTTTTAATCTCTCAAAGAACAAAGATTTTAAAATATGACAGCTTTTTAATGTCAAGAGAACCTTCAGAAAGATAACTATGTAAATTAAAGAAGTTTAAATATATAGAAGCTGTTATTAATATTACTTCACACTTGTAAAAAAAATCTTCAAAAGTCCACCAAGTAACCTTTAGATCAGATTTTAAAATTCAAAAGTGGAAGCTGGCACATTTTTATTTTTTAAGAGCTGATACTCAGAGAAAGGTTCTTATTGATGTCAATTCCTGCCGAAATCTTTCAGATTTCAGAGGTCAGGGGTAGCCAGTGAGAATGCCGAGATACACACGTGCGAGACCCAGATAAACCCCTGGAGTTTGTGGAACAAATTGCTGGCACTCTTTCCAAGGGGAGAACTAGATCGAAGTGCTCATCTGGGCACATGAGTGTTCAGATTGCTATGTTAGTCTGTTAAAAAAAAAAAAAAAAAAAAAAAAAAAAAAAAAAACTACAATTTTATTTTTAAAAAGGAAAATGGAAAACTGTTGCTTAAGTGGCAGTATCCGCTTGGGTTCACTTTTGCTTTTTTTGTCTTGGAGGGTTTTGACTAGAAGAAGCACAAGATTAAAGGAACAATTGTTGGCAGAAAATATACAGTGTAGTCATGTATTGCTCTCAGGCTATACTGTCAGGTTCTAAAATAACTAGGTTCAATGTAAAACTCAGATCACCCAGTCAGATTGTCCGTAAAGTACTGTTAGCACCATTCTGAACAGTAATACTATCCAGAATAAACATTGACAACCTCCCCATCATACAGAAGGACAAAAGGCAAATCAGCATATCAGTTCCTGATTCTCCACAACTTTGGTCCTCAAAGATAACCATTCTATGTCAAGAAGAAGAGAAATCAGTGGGAAATTCTTATTTATATCAGCTTGCTTGCAGAGTTTGATAGTAAGCTCTTGCCTTAATAGTGTTAATTGACACTTCTGTGGTTGTAAGAATTAAAAGAAAATATATAAAGATATTTAAAAGTAAATTATAAATAGAACAGCTTATTATAATTTGTTACTTCTCTCAATAAATTACATTATGTTTGTTGATAAGCAGGTTCCTGTAATTAATTATTATAAATTATGTAATCTAATAAACAATAAAATAGTGTGTTGTCACTCTTTTTGCTATTTGCTAACACATATAAAATAACATGATTGCTACATTGAACTCTAAGGCCTCGTGGTGAGAGCACTCACACACCCAGTTGTCTTAGAAGGCTGTAGAAAAGCTTTATCTTTACTTGAGGATAAAGTAAACTGCAGTTAAGTGAGGGAGTTAAGTCACTGGGGTTTTTCCAGTTCAAAATGTAGCAATACGTGGAAGATTGCAAACTGTTTGCCGAAAGTGGAATACCTGCATAATACTGTAAAACAGATAAACTGGAAGAGAATCAAATAACTGAGTTATTTTAGAGAAAGCCCACGTGTCACCGCACATATTATTTTCCTCGTCATGTTCACAGTTTGAGTTCACTTTCCAAAGATTAAGTTATTTTCCCCTCCTTAAAATATATAACTACACATATTTGCAATACGTCTCTTCTTCATTGATCCACAGTTAATATGTTCAAAAGAAATGTATTGGGCCCGATTATGTACCAGGCCCTAGCAGAGGGTCTAGACATGCAGAGTGCCCAGAATACAAAAGTCCCTGCTTCATGGAGGAGACCAATGATAAACTGGCAAATGTATAGTATACATAAAATTTACCTATATTTATAGTATTACATCTATCTGTGGATGAAAATGCTATGAATAAAAATAAAGACAGAACAAGGGATAAGGAATGCTGTGGTTGGGGGGAAGCTAAAACCTTGAATAGGATGATCAACAAAGACCTGAAGAGTGAACTGTGTAGATAGTACAGATATATAGAGGAAAGGCATTCAAGACAGAGGGAACAGTTAAATACTAAGGACCTTTAGCAGGAGTATGCTAGATGTTTCAAGAATTAGCAAAAAATATCACTGTGACTGGAGAGTAGTGGGTGCTTGAAACTGAAGTAATGAAGAGAATGCAATTGTAACTACAGGTCTGGGACACTATAATTAGGGTGGGGGAGGAAAGCCAGTGAAAGCTAGATTTCCAGAAAAGAATTGTGCTGGAGATCATGATAGTGACCAGGAGTTAAAACCTTCCAGAAGGGAGCAGAGTACTTGGGAGTATGTAGTTGCAACACCTCTCTGTATTTAAATAAAAATTTTGCTTACAAGTTTCACTTACACCTGATACTTTAATACCATGCCTTTCTAGAACTGTACTCAAGAATATAGACAGATTAATTTAATCACTGCATTTGCTAAATACATGAAAATATTTGAAGGTGATATGATGCCAAGCACCTCTATTGCATTCTACTTAAAAAATAAAAATTTCAGCCAGGCGTGGTGGCTCACGCCTGTAATCCCAACACTTTGGGAGGCCTAGGCAGGCAGATCAGTTGAAGTGAGGAGTTCAAAACCAGCCTGGCCAACATGGTGAAACCCCATCTCTACTGAAAATACAAAAATTAGCCAAACGTGGTGGTGCATGCCTGTAATCCCAGCTACTCAGGAGGCTGAGGTACAAGAATCGCTTGAACCCAGGAGGCGGAGGTTGTAGTGAGCCGCGATTGCACCACTGCACTCCAGCCTGGGTGACAAAGTGAGTCTCTGTCTCAAATAAATAAATAAATAAATAAATAAAAATTTCAAGTTATGTAATCACCAAAATTGCATCTCTTAGAGACAAGTGGACTTGATTTACCTAATGTTTTTTATGTCCTCTCCTACTAAGAAATCCTATAACTTTTAATTAACATTATTATTTATTTTTATTATGTATTATGTAAAATTATAATGTTATATTAATATATTGTTACATAGTATAATATGCAATATATTAATGAAACAAAAACCAAACATTCATCATGTCATTTTATCTTCAGGGATTTTAAAATTTCTTTCAATGTGACATGAGCAAGATTTTTATAATATTTAGTAATAATGTCTTAAGAATTCAGCATACTAGTGTTTTTAGCATTGTCTGTAAACAGTTTTTGTTGTTTTCTGCTTATTACTTGGAAACGTCCTTCTATAGTAACAAAACGTTGTATCAATGTAGCATACTGCTAAGCATATCACCTTTAGGACACTAGGTGGCTATGTTCAAATCCTGGCTCTAGTACTTAATAGTTAGAGGCTGAGCTAGTTACTAAATTCCCTGGGTATTAGTTCTTCCATCTCTAAAATGAGGATAAAGTTATAGAGTAAACATCAAGAGATAATAGGTATGGCCATGGCAAATTCATCTCTTGACACAAAGCAATTTGTATGTTTCTGGATCTCAATTATTTCAGAGAATCAATCTTTATGCCCAAGGTCCTCAATGTATGATTTTTCTCTTTTCCCATTTTCTTCATTAGCCCTTTGTAAACTATTTTAATTCATTTACTCTAATTTCCTTATTTCTTGAACTAGCTCCCAAATTCCACAGGGGTCTACAGTGGAAGACTTGAACGCTGTACTTAGATTTCCGGCAACCTTTTCCTAAATTGCTGTTAAGTTTCCTGCCCAGTATCTTGCATTTTACTACAGGTTTTCAATGAAAATTAAAAGGTAGCACCTCTCTTTTGTCCTCTGCTTTATCTTTACTGAACTCATAAAAATCACTTCGAGTTATAACTTTCAAATGTATACGTTGTAAAAATTTTGTAAGTATAATTTCCCTGACATTTTTTTGAATAATAAAGCCTCTGCCCATGACACTTTTTTCATGATAGTCATCTTATAGGTTGCTATTTTGGACATTTTTTCCTCTTCAGTAGGAGTTGTCTTCTGCCAGCTTTCTTTTTTGAGACAGAGGGTCACACTCTCACCCAGGCTGCAGTGCAGGGGCGCGATCTCAGCTCACTGCAACCTCTGCCTCCCAGGTTCAACCGATTCTCCTGCTTCAGCCTCCCGAGTAGCTGGGATTGCAGGCGCCTGCCACCACACCCAGCTAACTTTTTGTGTTTTTAGTAGAGACAGGGTTTCACTGTGTTGGCCAGGCTGGTCTCGAACTCCTGACCTGGTGATCCGGCCCCCTTGGCCTCCCAAAGTGTTGGGACTACAGGCATGAGCCACTGCGCCTGGCCTCCGCCGGCTTTCAGCAAGAGCAGGAGAGCTCAAACACTGGTCACCAGCTATTGCTGCCTCTTACTGTCCTCATGCTGAAACTCACAAGGGCTAAACTGTGTTTAACATTCTTGGCCTTCCTTATAGCAGCAGGTACAAGAACTGCCTTAAAATTTCCCTATTGTTCCAAAAGACTAGTCAAAAAAAATCTCTATCAGAGTATTTGTATGTTGTACACATATAATAGTACATATGTATATACTGTCTATGTGGTATGCTGAACATAAGTCATGTATAAACTGTAGAGAAGATACTCAATTAGTCATTCTTGGTATTTGGGTGATATTATCCACATCCCTCATGTATTGATTTTCTTTTCAGCTGATTGCACTTTTGTCTTTCAATTTCTTTAAAACATTTCTTTTCCTCCAACAGTGTAGGACAAATTCTCACTGGCCTTCTCTTAGTTTATATCTTTATGTGATGATATTTCTTTCCCTCATTTTTATAGATTTTGGCCCTATTTCCTGGGCTGTCATCCAACTTCTCTATCCTGGTCTTTGGATTTTTTATATTTTAACTTATTTTCCTTGCTGTCATTTTGATCTCATTGCTATGTAAAATACTGTACCCAGCCCTAGTCCTGCTAAACCTTTTTGGAGAAATGTCATTCCCATCACATTGAGTATTTCTTTATTATTCTTATGGTTAATACTCCATACAGCAATAATACCTATACAGATAGATTTCCTGCATCCTAGTGTAATTTTCTCCCTTTTTGCTGTTTACCCACTTTGTCTCATTACAATAGCATCTGTTACTTTTTAACATGGTCTTAAGGAAAACAATGATTTATTGGAAAAAATAATTCCACAATACAAATACGATGCATCTCCTAGCTTGTTCTCCTTTCTTGCTATTTGGGCCAACCTTCAAAGCAAAAGTCTCAAGTGAACAACCTACTAAATTGTCTACCCCTTGATCCTCATGCAGGTTCTCCACAATTTGTACACATCTTTGTTCCTTTCTAAATTGCAGTGGATTCACAATATCAGACTCTTTGACTATTCAAAATTACTCTTTTGGATTTCCCTTTGAAGCCATATCTTCTTTATCTCAGTCATATCAGTGCCTGAGACATGGGCAGATGATGGGCATTCAAAAATGACTATTGAATTGAGCACCAAACTTAGAATCTGGCTACGTTACTGGCATGTAATAAGTGCACAATCTCTATTGCTGAGTGAATGAATTGAATGATATTGAATTGAACATCCCAAATTGGTGCCATCTTAATCTACTCATTTGTGTTTCCTAATGCCCTCTCTTCCATTAATCTTGACCTCAAAATATATATCTATTCATGCTTTACCTTTTCTGATTCCCTTTCTGCCTCGTTCTTGACAATATAGAATCCTCTCTTTTGTTCTTTGATTTTTAAAATGGTTTCTTTTCTAATTGATTTACTTTTCTAAAGAAATCTACGTTTTCTACAAACAAAATTTCATGTTCTGTTTTATAGTTATATCATGGAATCTAAAGAGACGAATGGAATATCTCTTTACACTATAATAGCACCCAGCTTTATTTATTCCTTTGAGGATTTTCTTCACGTTTTATAATATACCTTACCTCTCTGTGACATTTTGAAAAAGGAACAGCTTTTCTCTCACATATTCATTTCTCTTGTATTATTATTTTCTTCCTTTTCAAAAAGAGATTATATACTGCTGCCAAACATATCAATTATTTAGATTCTCATTTCAGCTTTTTCTTTATATGTTATGGCAACCATTTGTTTATTTCCCAAAAGAATATCTCTCTGATCTTTGAAAATAATATATGCTTATTTTAGAGATATATTAAAATACACAAAAATATGTAATGTAAATTCAAATCACCTCTGGATGGCAAATCATCTGCCATCTAAATATGTTTCCCTTTTATTTTGTGCATATATGTATATATTTTTTAAACAAAATTAACATAATACTTTAACATGCTTCTTTTTTACTTAATGTTGTATGTATCATGAGGACTTTTATGTCACTACGTACTCTTCTATTCTTGATTCTACACTTAGCATTCTTCTTTGTTATATATGGTGTGCTCTTATTACATATGAACTGTGTATGTGTGTGAGTAGAAAAACAACTTAAAAGGAAACATTTCTATGAAAAGGCAATGCAAGTGGAAATTATGTGTGTCTGTGTGTGTGTGTATATATATATATATATATATATATATAGTGT